TATTCAAAAACAAAACAAAACAAAACCCGCAGCATCCCACATCATCTTTAAAACATTATTTACAGAAATACCAGGATTGAATTTAATGTGAGCAAACTTAGCTTCATGAGATTGGTTTTCTTCGCTCATTAATTTCTTTGCCATGAAAATTATTTAGCAGTGAGACTTATACCAAGTAAAGTAACTTGACAGATTGAAAAGAAAGAAWAGAATAATCCTGCCGCCTTCAAATTTAACAGCTTATTTTTACAGGAAAGGTTAGAAGTGGAGGTATATAGTATATAGAATATGTATGTATAGAGTATATAGAATATATACTACATTTATTTTTACAGCTCTGCAGCTGTCCCAATCTGGATTGTCACAGCCTGATGTGTATAAGGACAGAGTTTTACTTCTTTATTCTCAGATTCTAAATTAGCCTCATTAATGAACCTCAGTTGAAATGTGGAGTCTTTTTGTTTAGTTCCTCRTGATGAACATAGAGGGAATGATCTAAAAGTAAATTGCAATTACTTTTGCAGTTGTGCACACTGCAGTGTGAAGTACTTGGTGCATGTGCACAAGGATGTAGACCTGGGCTCATGAAACTCAGGTCTGTGGAGGAAAGACCCATTAATCCACTACTACAGAAAGAAGAAGCAGGTATTAGAGAGGCTGGAGTAAGAGACAAAGTTTGTAGGGTAGGCAAACATTTTTCTGTAAAAGGGCAGATAATAAATGTTTTAGACAATTGAGACCAGATGGTCTCCGTGGCTGAGAGCAGCCCTGGTGATAGGCATGGTGGCACATGCCTGTAATCCCAGAGATTTGGGAGGCACAGACAGGAGAATCAAAAATCCAAGGCCAGCTGAAGCAACTTAATGAGAGCCTGTATCAAAAATTAAAAAGGGCTGGGATGTGGCTCGTGGTAGAGCAGCCCTGGGTTCAATCCCCAGTACCACAAACAACAAAATCAGCCATAGAAAGGATACAACCAAATGCTGTGAGTGTGTTTTAGACACTGAACTCTGAATTGCATCAGTATTATTTTGGTTTTGATTCATTTTCAAGCATTTAGAAGTATAAAATTCCTTCTTGGTTTGAGGACCCTACAAATACACATGGTGGGTTAGAATCAGGCTATAGAATATTTAAGACCCCAAACAATTTTTTTTCATGAATCACTAAAATAATTTGATAGTATTTCAGTGGATTTTCACAGTGTTATTTAGCTTAGCTTCAAGCTCCTTACCTGGCCTTTTACTTCCTTTGTTTACTTCACATGATAACTATCATTTCAAGAGATGCAAAGGTATTTTCCCACATATTGTGCCGTATTTGAAGGCTAGAGGCATGCAGGAGGAACAACAGTGAGATGAGGCCAGCCTCCTGCTTAATATTAAGTAGTAGAGTGTGCAGTCAGATATAAATTAGGCATTTACTTTATTCTATCCAGATCTGGAAAACATATTCTTTGGTCTGCTCGTCCCTCCCAAACTCATGTTGAAATTCAACTGCCGATGCCATGGAACTGAGAAATGAGGCTTTGAGAAGTGATTAGGTCATGAGGACTCCACCCTCATGGGTGGTTTTAGTGCCTCTATTAAGGCGCTTGTGCAAGTGGGTTCTTTGTTCTTTCTCTCTTCTGCCGTGGGAGAAACCATATCCCGCCCCTCTGAAGACTACACATTCCAGCATCATCTTGGAAGCAGAACTGGCATTCACCAGACACCAAACCCACCATCACCTCCATCTTGGACTTCCTGCCCCCAGAACTGTGAGCAATCAATTCCTGCTCTTTATAAATTACCCAGTATCAGGTATTCTATTGTAACAGCATGAAGCAGACTAGAACAATAGAGCTTGTCAATTGCTTGCTCATGTTTAGGTAATAGAGATGGTCAAACAAGAAAATTCTGGTTAAAGACATTTTCTAGTTTAAAGTYTTGGACTTGATAAGGAATTGTTTGTAGAGTTTTGAAAATATGCATAGAGTTTGTCTTGTTTGAGTTTTCATAGACTTTGTTAAATAAACGTTTYTTCACTTGATGTATGCCCTTTGGACAATTTCCAGATACATTAAATTTAAAAATATGTATATATTTACACCAGTTTATCTGAAGAGCCCATCCACAGAGCTCCTCAGTGTCATGGCAGAAGTGGGACCCCTCTCTCTACAGATAAGGAGGATCTAACTCACTCTATAGCTGCCTCAGGATACATGAAGCCAGATATAATGGTTATACTTTATGAACTTTCTTTTTGAGAGACATTGCTTTTTATATAAGTTCAAAAAAACACTACAAAAAGAATTAAAGGTGTGGGGAACACCCTTGTGAGTGGTGTAGGTGGGTAGCTTGGCCATTTTTAGGACACAGAGGCTGTGCTTTCAGTACTTATCCAATAATTTTAGAAAAAAATAAAGAATTATTTCTTTCCCAATAACAATTCCCACATTTTCCAGAAGCCACTGGATTTCTATAATTATGACTCTCAAATGATCAAAATACCATGCTCACTAATAAAGATTAAATGAGTTAAAAACTTGGAAATACAATCTGATATTCCAGGAGTATTTGCGGAAACCAGCCATKTGTGGAGAACTATCATTAAACATTCTATAATCATAAAAAGAAGTCAGTGACACGAGGAATTTGCAAGAGAATGGGAGAGAAAATTAATAGTCCTGAAACATCCAGAAAAGTCATTTTTAAACAATACCAAGTTCAAGAAATATGCCACTCTATTAATGGAGTAATGGATATGAAAACTATGTTCTAATATAGATCTTGGAAGAGGTGACATGGACTAAGGTTCACATGTTTAAAAAGTTACAACTAACACTTATATGTCAGCCAAATAATCTAATTCTAATTTGCAGCACAGAACATGCATTGCTTTATTTCAGGATAAATGGTAACTTAGATACAATTTAGAATTTTTAAAATGATTATTTCATTAAGTTGTAGCATGTGTTCAAGTAAACACATCATGTATACATATACTCATATATTCTTTCTATCATGAATATTTACCACCAGTACCATTGTACATTCTGCTTAATGACATTTGCCAAACATTTAATTATTGGATGTTACATAGAATGTGTACACATTTTTAATTGTAAAAGCTTAAAATATTGTCATCCGGTCAACAGCTACATTTACAGTAAGTCCCCTCCACGAACTTTTTAATTCAGAAGGTATGGATCCATCTTAATTCAATTCATATGCATGGAGTTTTGCTAGTTGTGTGACCCTTTTTTGAAGGGCATGGGAGGTGGTAAAATGGTAAAACAAATGGACCAGAATGAGCAGAACAACAGTCCAATGGAGAGCTAACCTTTTCTGCTAGACACAACCTCACAGACTGGGGGAGTCAACTAGTCCTACAATCCACCAGAGTCAGCTTGCCAAAGGCTCTTGAGTAACCCACCAATGCTAAACTGACGAGCCAAGGCCTTACCTACACTCAGCAAACCAATTCCTTGGGAAATTCTTTTTTTTTTTTTTTTTTTTTAATGAGGAGTGCCCCCACGCTTGCCTTTACTGCTCAGGTAGACAAGTAAATCCTCACCAGTGCTGTCAATCTGCAATTTTAGATCCTACTTTTGGCTAGCAAAGGCAGAATCTGCATGTTCAAACAAGGTCCTCGGTTGCTTCTCACGCCCATTAAAGTATGAGAAGCACAGTAGATCCTTAGTAGACCATGGTTCTSAAGCTTGAACCTCTGTCATCATCACCAATAAAAATGCCCTGCACTATGCCTCAGCCCCAGAATTGCTGACTCAGTAGGAAAGGTGTGTGGCCTTGAGAGTGCATGCTTCAAGACCCAGGTGCTGCTTAGACTGAGAGCATGCTCCAAAATGACTATTTAAAATCATGTTATTGGACTGGAGATGTAGCTCAGTGGTAGAAAGCTTGCCTACCATGCACAAGGCCCTGGGTTTGATCCAGCAGAACAAAAACATTTTGATAGTTAATATGAAGATTTCATCCCACAGAGGTCAATCTATGTTAGATCCAGCTTTCCCAGCCCTTTCTGGAAATCAATGCAACTTATCACTGATCATTTTTAATTTTCCTTTATTGGAGGAATTATCGATTCACCTGTCTTCCTGATTTTCCTAGACTGACAGGATCATCCGAGAAGGAGAGGATAGAAGCATTACTCCCCTTCTAAAAAATAGCATTATGCTACTCTTTAAAACATTAACATGCTAAAAACTATATGCTAGACAAGGTTTTTAATACATCTCAATTTAATTGAGTTGCCCAAGACAAGAAAGAACTCTATAAAACTTAGTGCTGTATGCATCTGATCTTTGATTTCTTTTGGAATTGCATATCCATTCAAAATAGAACCACACCAGCATTGTTGAAAATGTCTGAATAAAAAATCAGATTACAAAGCAATTTTGAGCAATCAACATAGATGAAAAAGTAGAAGGGGCAGGAAATGATTAGGGGGATACTACGATTAGCAATATATTATATTAATATATATTATATTAATATATATTAATATATTATGACACCTATGGGATTCACCCCCAGGTGTGTCCACCTGGTGTGTCGTTGGTGAGTCCCCGCGTCAGATGTGGTGTGCCCCAGGAGTCACAGCGCAGCGTGAGTGCCCAGGGGCGTTAGAGGGCATGTGTCTGAAGTGGGGCTTCCAGGAGCGCGGAGGAGGCTGAGTCTGCGTCTGCGGTGGCGTCCCCAGGTGTGGGAGCGGGTTGCGGTCTGGAGAGGTTGCAGTGCGCGGCCAGGTGTGACGTGGCGTGCGGCCCGCGAGGTCAGGGCCAGGGCGCGGCCGGAACCCGGGCGCCGCAGGGTCGGGCGGAGCGGCGTGCAGCCTGCAGGGGGCGCCGCCCGGAGCGACTTAGGGGCGGCGCCCGAGCAGGGCATTTCCGCTCCGCGGCGGGCGCGCGATCCCAGGGCGGCGCGAGGGGCCGCAGGTGAGGCGCAGGCGCGGGCGCGGGCGCGGGCGGCGCGGGCACGGGGCGCCGTTGGGCCAGGGCCGCCGCGGGAGCGTGCCGGAGCCGGGAACCGCCGCAGGCCCCCGTGGGTGCCGCGTCCCCGTGAACGGCCACCCGCCCCCAAGGCCGCTTTGGCAGGATCGAAGCGGGGACGATTTCAGAAATCCAGCTTTTGATTTTAGAGATGTTGTTTTGAAGGACACCAAAGCCTGCAGAAGAAAAATTAAAACTTCTGGCCTTGCGCGCTTCGCTCTGAGGTTTCCTGGAGCCACTCGRGGGGCGTCTGGACTTGGGAGAGATCCTCTTCCTGGCTTTCAAGTGCGGTCACGGTTGCTGCTTGTCTGTTGGCCAGGGCAACGCCACCGGCTCGCTCAGAACCCCGCAGCTTGCTGCTGGGGTTGAGTTCAGTGTCTTAGTATTGAAGGGATAAGATGATGCACTAGAATTGTGACTGTGTTTTTCTTCGTTTTCTTGTTGAGAGTAGGTTATTCATTGCCCCGGGGTTGGGGGCGGGGGGATCACGAAATAAAAACTAAAGCATATCTCTGAATTAATTGGATTGACCTATATAAAGTGTGGGGTTTAAGCACAACACACAGGCTTTTGTCCATTTTCTTGGAACTGAAGACTTCCCTGGCCCCATTCAATGTAATGACGTGCCACGATGGAGAACCCTGCAGTCTGGACTCCTTTTTTTCTGAAACAGCTCCCAGAAGAAGCCATAAGTTTTTGAATAAGCAAACCTCTCTTCCTCGGTGCACAGCATTTATCTTTTAAGAGCTGAGTTTGCAAAGTTAAATTCTAATTGGTGGATTTTTGTATGGAAATATTTTATACTAGTTGATCTTACCAACCAGAAACCTAACTACTAACACTAGGCCTGGAGAAGGTGATTATTCACTGTGATGCTGGCAGGAGGTAGCAATATGTGAACAAAACAGGGGTAGAAACCTATTTTTTTTATTTTTATTTTTTAACGGTTTATTTTTCTATTTAGTTTACCTCCTAATATCTCTCAGTTCCAGCTGTCAGCATTTGCAGTCCTGAAAGGTGGAAAACCTGGCTACTGAAGACTTTATTTGGAGAGCCTCAGTTAAACGTGACCACCCGGCATCTCGGTTCCAGGAATTCATTGCTTAGTTGAAGGACTCTATGGTCAGTGAAACCGCTCAGAGCAAGGCAGCCTTGTTTAGTCAGCAGGCCCTGCCCCTGAACCCAGAGGGGTGCAGGCTGTGGTTACTCTGTGTGGTATTGGTGGACCCCCTCAAATGGCTTTCCAGAAGGGACCCAGTGATCGGAAGTCTCTGGTTTGTGTGGCATCCAGTGTGCTGTTGGAGTGGAGATGCACACTCACAGGAAGATGGCAGGGAAGGTCACGCCAGGCCCAGACCTTGAGCAGAGAGTGAATTCTTGTAGGAAAGTGGCATTCCTGGAGGATGACACCATGAGCAAAGATAAAATGCTAAAAGTGAGACTAGTGAAGAGTTCAGCCAAGTTGCCCCCAGTGTGGGGAGGACTGGTCAGACAGGTGCCTGGGGAAAAAGCTCTCTGGTGATCATCAGCTCATTTTTACTCAAGGTTCTGATGTCTTTCCTTCTTTTTTTTTTTTTTTTTTTTTTTTTTTTTAAGAAAAATGTAAGCAAACATAGAAGCACAGGGAATAGTATAATTTCCATATATCTGTCAAATAGATCACATAATTCTCCTCCTCCTCCTCCTCCTCCTCCTCCTCCTTCTTCTTCAACTTAAAGTGGTTTATCCCAGACAACATAACAGTTCCCCTCTAAATAGTTCTGTATCCACCTTCAAAAAATGGACATTTTCTTTGTTGTTGTTTTTGTGGTTCAGAGGATAGGAAAAAGAAAAGGGGATACTCTCAAGGGAGAAAGTGGGTTCACTCCCAAGGGAGACAGTGGGTTCTCAAGGAGGAGAGGGACAGTATGCCTCTCCTGCACTCCAGTTTTATTGGGGAGCCCAGAGAAGTTTCCAGAGAGTTGTTCCTAAGTATACCTTTTGACTTTTTTAATTTTTATTTTTAAAATTTTTTTTTGTTTTCATACAGTACTTAGGGTAATAATGTTCATCTCATTCCACCATCTTTCCTACCCCCATGCCCCCTCCCTTCCCCCTCCCTCCCCTATGTCCTATCTAAAGTTCATCTGTTCCTCCCATGCCCCCCATCCCCATTATGAATCAGCCTTATATCAGAGAAGACATTCAGCATTTGGTTTTGTAGGACTGGCTTACTTCATTCAGCATTATTTTCTCTAACTCCATCCATTTACCTCTAAATGCCGTGATTTTATTCTCTTTTAATGATGAGTAATATTCCAATGTGTATATATACCACATTTTCTTTATCCGTTCATCTACTGAAGGATATCTAGGTTGGATCCACAATTGTGAATTGTGCTGCTATAAACATTGATATGGCTGTGTCCCTGTAGTATGCTATTTTAAAGTCCTTTGTGTATAAACCAAGGAAATGGATGGTTGAATCAAATGGTGGTTCCATTCCCAGTGTTCCAAGGAATCTCCATATTCCTTACAGATTGGTTGCACCAATTTGCAGTCCCACAAGCAATGTCAGAGTGTGCCCTTTTCCCCACATCCTCACCAATGCTTGTTGTTGTTTGTATTCTTAATAGCTGCCTTTCTGACTGGAGTGAGATGAAATCTTAGAGTAGTTTTGATTTGCATTTCTCTAATTTATAGAGATGTTGAACATTTTTTTCATATATTTGTTGATTGTATATCATCTTCTGAGAAGTGTCTGGTCAGTTCCTTGGCTCATTTATTGATTGGGTTGTGTTTTTTTGTTTTTTGTTTGTTTGTTTGTTTGTTTTGGTGTTAAGTTTTTTGAGTGCTTTATATATCCTAGAGATTAGTGCTCTATCTGATGTGCATGTGGTAAAAATTTGCTCCYATTCTATAGGCTTTGTATTTACCTCACTGATTGCTTCTTTTGCTGAGAAGAAGCTTTTTAGTTTGAATCCATGCCATTTATTGAGTCTTGGTTTTAATTCTTGCACTACAGGAGTCTTATTAAGGAAGTTTGGACCTAATCCAACATGATGGAGATTTGGGCCTACTTTTTCTTCTACTAGCTGCAGGGTTCTGGTTTAGTTCCTAGGTCCTTGATCACTTTGAGTTGAGTTTTGTGCATGGTGAGAGATAGGGGTTTAATTTCATTTTGTTGCATATGGATTTCCAGTTTTCCCAGCACCATTTGTTGAAGAGGCTATCCTTTCTCCRATATATGTTTTTGGTGCCTTTGTCTAATATAAGATAACTGTATTTATGTGGGTTTGTCTCTGTGTCCTCTATTCTGCAACATTGGTCTACAATTCTATTTTGGTGCCAATACCACACTGTTTTTGTTACTATTGCTCTGTAGTATAGTTTAAGTTCTGGTATCGTGATGCCACCTGCTTCGCTCTTTCTGCTAAGGATTGCTTTAGCTTTTCTGGGTCTCTTATTTTTCCAAATGAGTTTCATGATTGCTTTTTCTATTTCTATGAGGAATGTCATTGGAATTTTGTTTGGAATTGCATAAAATCTGTATACTGCTTTTGGTAGTATGGTCATTTTGATAATATTAATTCTGCCTATCCAAGAGCAAGGTAGATCTTTCCATCTTCTAAGGTCTTCTTTGATTTCTTTTTTTTTAGTGTTCTATAGTTTTCACTGTACAGGTCTTTTACTTATTTCATTAAGTTGATTCCCAAGATTTTTTTTTTTTGAGGCTATTGTAAATGGGATAATTTCATTGTTTCTCTTTGAGAATATTTGTCACTGATATACAGAAATGCCTTTGATTTATGGGTGTTGAAAAAATGGACATTTTCTTGTAAAGCCATAATAACATTGCCACCTAATGAAATTGACAATAATTTCTTACTGTTTTCTAAACCTAGTTCATAGAGAGATTTCCCCGATTGCCTCAAAAATGCTTTTTTTCTTTTTTTGGTACTGGGGTTTGAACCTTGGGGCACTCAGCTACGAAGCAACATCCCTAGTTCTTTTTATTTTTTATTTTGAGACAGGCTGCCACTAAGAGAGATGTACTTTTTATTGTTGGTTTGTGTGAATCATAAGCCAAACAAGGGCCACACGTGGTATTTGTTGATTATCATTTTCATCTAGGGCAGGCAGTTGGCTAGATACTCTCAGCTTTGCAGGCYGCGGGGTCTCTGTGTGACTTTCTGTCACACAGTAACCATAGCTGATATGTAAGTCAGTGAGTTGGCTGTGTTCAAATAACGTTGCATTTTCAGAGTTGTTTTGCTTTGTTTTAAACTCCCTGGTGGGTTAGACTTACCCATAGGCCATAGTTGGCTGACCCTGGTCTGGAGCAACCTACGGGTTTAATGCTAATGACTTGCTAATGACACTTGGTTTGTTGCCTGTAAAATGCTTTATTTTCTGGGTTTATGTGGCTGCTCTTTGTACAGTATGATTTAACCTGCTCCTCTAGCCCCTGTATTCTTATGAATTGGAAGTTAAATCTAAAGGCTCAATCAGATTCATTGTTACTGTTTCCAGCAAGACTACTTCAGAGTGGTTTTAATTTTTTAAAAATATAAATTTATCTGACTTTAAAAGATTAGAGACTCTCATCCTGAAAACTCGGCATTCTTTTTTTATTATTTATTTATTTATTTATGGTAGTTGTAGATGTACAGAATGCTTTTAATTTTTTTTTTTTTAAATGTGATGTTAAGGATCAAAGCCAGTGCGTCACACATGCTATGCAAGCACTCTACCACGGAGCTTCAGCCCCAGCCCCAAAGCTTAAAATAAGCTTTGCCTGATGGCAGTGAATCCACTTTTTTCCTTCTCTCCTTACTTATTTGTAGGAGAGATTATAGCTGTTATTTCTCGGGGAGGTAGAGAGTTTGAACCCCTCCTCTAGGTCTGTGTGAACTCCCCTCTATTCCAGGCTTCCTTGGTGCCTTGGGCTGGAGGATCACGTATTCCTACCGAATAGAGACTTTCCTTCCATGGACCAAGCCCAGGGTTTGAGATTGCCTTCCAAGAGGCATTGGGTTTTTGTTTTAATTCCCTTGAACACTGCATTTTACTCACTTCTTATTTTACCTGACTCTCTCCAGCAGACTGAGATCCAGAAACTTGGTGCACATGGACCTTTGGGTCTCTGCGTGAGGCAGGCKTGCTCTCCTGTATCCTGAGGAAGGATTCCAAAGCTGAAAACTCTCAGACTCTCTGTGCTCCTGGATTCCTGGGCCACACAGCTTTGAACAAACTTACGGGTGAGAATTATTTCCTCTTTTCTGGACTATTCCTAACTCCTAAATCCTAGAGGCGCTGAAGCAATATGCTGACAGATAGTGCACACAGAGCCAGTTGGAATCCCTTGTCTTTTTGTTACTTAAGAAAAGTAGGGGGCGGGGGCTGTGGCTCAGTGGTAGAGCACTTGCCTAGCATGCATGAGGCACTGAGTTCGATCCTCAGCACCATATAAAAATCAACAAATAAAATAAAGATATTCTATCCATCTATAACTACAAAAAATTTTTWAAAAAAAGAAAAAGTAGGGGCCGGGGGTGGTGGCACCTGTGTATAATCCCAGGGACTCAGGAGACTGAGGCAGGAGGATCACAAGTTTGAAGCCAGCCTCAGCAATTTAGTAAGTTCCTAAGTAGCTTAGGAAGACCCTGTCTCAAAATAAAAAAGGAACGTATCTCAGTGATAGAGTGCCTCTGGGTTCAATCCCTAATACTATGGGGGAAAAAAAAACGGAATAGTAGGAGCAACTGTGTTTATATTCCTTTACCAATTTTTGAATTGAGTGTTGATCTTATTGATTTATAAAAATTATTTATATGTTAATGATACTAATCTTTTGTCATATAGACTATAACTCTTTTCCCTCAATTGTTTTTGTATTTGTTTACAGTTTTTGTGCTCTTCAGAAAATTTTAATTTTGTGTAGTGAAAAATATCAGTCTCCCTTTTATAGTTTTTTGTTTTGTTTTGCTTGGAAAGAACTGCCCATTTCAAGATTTTTAAAAATTCATGTTAACACAGATAAGTGAACATGTGATCAGAGCTGGTGTATTATTCGGCTTCACATTACTATAATAAAATTCTTTTTTTTTCTTTTTTTTATTGTTGGTTGTTCAAAACATTACATAGCTCTTGATATATCATATTTCACACTTTGATTCAAGTGGGTTATGAACTCCCATTTTTACCCCATATACAGATTGCAGAATCACATCAGTTACACTTCCATTGATTTACATATTGCCATACTCGTGTCTGTTGTATTCTGCTGCCTTTCCTATCCTCTACTATCCCCCCTCCCCTCCCCATAATAAAATTCTTGAGGTAATTATTTTATAAAGTAAAAAAGATTTATTTTTCCTCACTGTTTTGAAGGTCCAGTCCAAAATCAGACAGACCCACTCTTTGGGCCTCTGGTGGCTGTGTCCGACAGCGTGGCAGAGATCACATGGCCATGATCACATTCATAAGCCAGGGAGTAAAGGGGAAAAGACCAGGGTCCTCTTCTAGGGCATGTGCCCAGTGAACTGAGGACATCCCATAAGGCTGCACTTCCTAGCAGTTCTACCACCCTGCAATGGCATCACCCTGGGGACCAAGCTTCTCACACGGGGAACTTTGGGGGTTGAATATTCAGCATCCCAACCTACAGCAGAGAACATGTGACTCTGAAAAAGAAGACTCCAAGTAGGACGAYTTCTACCAGATAATGTCCAAATACTCAACCCTTGGCATTAAAATGAGGCCATTGCTGGTAAGGGTTGTGGTTTGGAGATGGGTAGTTGAGGAATCTTTAATTATGTCATTATACTAGTTTTGTAGTAAACTTCTCATAATAAACAAGTTTTCTTTATAAAAGAAAGAATGGTAGGGGAGACTCTCTTCATCCCATTTGCTCATATTCACTCATATTCCATAGCTATTTGTTAGGCAGTTCTGTGCTACCCATGATGTCCCATGGTTCTATAGGTAGGAGACCTGTAAAAACCAGTCAAAGTTCATAGGAATCCTATAAAATTGCTCCATTTCAGTTTTTATAGGTGTCTTACACCTAGGACCACAAGACATGGTGATTTAGCATTGGGGTATGGGGTTCATAAATGCTCATGGTCTTGAACTTAGAGGTTGTACATGGGAGGCAGATATTAATGGGGCAGTGGCTGATTAGGCAGCTACCTTGAGAGTATCTATCTACCTATCATTCTGCAGGGTGGAGAGTCCATAGCTTCCCACGGCAGTTCTTCTGTCTTAGTGACACTGCGATCATGTCACACTGAACGGCAGGCCCTGTTAGCCTTGGCTGTCTCTCTTCATAACCATATTAGTGTCAGGTCTTCTATCACAAAGTACCCCAAACCGGGAGGCTTAGAACAACAGATATTTATTCCCTCCCTGTTCACAGAGATTCAAAATCTAAACCCAGGAGTGGGCAGGGCTGCCCTCCCTCCAGAAGCTCTGTGGAGAAATCCCTCCTGCCTCTGCTGGCCAGTGGCGGCTCCCAGTACCCCTTGCTCTTGCTCGTGGCTGCCTCATGCTGGTGTCTGTCCGTCATCACATGGCCCTCTCCCTTCCCRCAAGACAACTGGCATTGGACTTCAGGCCCATCCAGATGCTCCAGGGCGTATCACCCGCCGTCCTTCACTTACCCACAGGTGCAAGGTCCGTTGGCCGGGCCAGGGAACATGCGGTTCTGAGAGTCAGGACCTGGACCTTTGGGGAGCCTTTACTCTCTGCTTCACTCTGCAGTACAGCAGCCACCACTGGGGCAGAGCAGCTCCCCAGACACATTAATACTAGCTGCCCCTGTCCTCGAGGAGTGTCCCCACGTCTGCTCTCCCCCCAGGTGCTGGTGTGCTGTAGCCCTGCAGGCCCCTCGGGCCTCAGCGTTGGTAGGAGGGCGTCTTAGTCCATTTTGTGCTGTTGTAATCTGAGGCCAGATAATTTGTAAAGAGTAGAGATTTATTTCTCTCAGTTCTGGAGGCTGGAAGTCCAAGACTGGAGGGGTAGGGGCTGTGTCTGCAGGGCCTTCATGCTGGCCGTCCCAAGGCGGAAGGACAGGGGGGTAAGAGCACCAGAAGGAGAGAAGGGGCATGCACTGCTCGTCTTCTCAGGAGCAGAGCACTCTGCCAACGTGTCTGCTGCTGCAGCTGTTTTACCTGTTTAAGGGTCCCTCAGGGGAAGGATGAGTTTTCATGTTAGCCAGGGCTGCGGGACTGGGAACTCTGGTTAATAAGCCTGCGCCTTCCTCATTTCATCATTTTGGGAAATAATCACAGCCGCCTGCTTCAAAGACTCTTTCTCCCTCGATTTTGCTTTCTGTGAAGTTAGGTGCTGTTGATGAAAGCCTGATACAAACTCACGAGTGGGARTCAGACCACCTGATAAATGAATAGAGAACCGTTTGACCCTATTCCCAGGAGTAGTTGAAAAGACCAGGTCACTATCAGTGTGACAGTTAAGTGAGGAATTACGACCAGCAAGCTCTTATAGCCAGATAGAAGCCAGATAGATTTGCAGGTGAGCCAGGTGTGCTAGGTCCCAGGGCCTAAGTCAGGTGTGACACACTCTGGATCTGCTAACTGCAAGAACCTTCCAGAAGCTCAGTTACATGCTGCTTCTTACTAGCTTCTCTAGTCTCCATTGTCACWTTCCATCTGTGCTGACTAGCAAATTGAACACACTTTGCGAATTCCATTGGCCCAGGTGTCAATATACAGGTCGAACATCTCTAACCCAGAAATCAGAAATGTTCCAAAACCTGAAACTTTTTGAGTGATAAAGTATCGGATTTTAGAGCATTTTGGATTTCAGATTTACAGATCAGGAATGTTCACCCCATGCAAATATCCCCAAATCTGAAAACTGTGAAATCTGAGACACTTCTAGACCTGTGGGTTCCAGATAAGGRATATGCAACCTGCAGTGGTGGCATAAGTTTTCTCATGTAACTTCTGAAGAATGTCTGTAACAAAGTCACCTGTGACAAACTGGTATTAGAGTAGTTTGCCACTGGCATTGCTTGGGATTAGAATCCCTAGTAGAAAAGCAGGTTTTGGGGCTGGGGATGTGGCTCAAGCGGCAGSGCGCTCGCCTGGCATGCGTGCGGCCCGGGTTCGATCCTCAGCACCACATACAAAGATGTTGTGTCCGCCGAAAACTAAAAAGTAAATGTTAAAAAATTCTCTCTCTCTCTTTAAAAAAAAAGAAAAGAGCAGGTTTTATGTTCAAAAATTTCTCTGTGGCCTCGTAAGTTCCAGTATCTCTTTACCAGTGAACGGTTTTCAAGGTCAACTTTGTGATCCAGGCTCCCTTAGAAAACAGCTACTTCCTCTTCCAGTCTTTCTGATACTTTAGTTGTGCCCGGGTAAATGATGAACCCCTGATGAAGAAAGACCAGGGAAATATCATTCCTGTCCTTCATGCTTAACAATGAGGTTGTTCCTGCAGAGACTCCTCCAAGTAGGGGACCCTCCTCCTCCTCCTTTTCCTCCTCTTCCTTCTCCTCCTCTTCCTTCTGCTCCTTCTTCTTCCTCCTCACCCCCATCCCTCTCTCTGTCTTTTATTAAGATCATTGCCCAGACCTTACAAGTGGAGTGTAAAACTTCTCCTGCACCAGCCACGAGCATCAGGGACCACCCCGACTCAGTTTTACTGTTTGCTTCTGGAGAATCTTGAAGCAAATCCTATAAATCATGTCATTTCATCTCCAAATGTTGCAGTAGGAATTTTGTTTAAAAGATTCTTTTCTTACATAACTAAAATCCTAATTATTGAGCAAAAACTCCATAATATCTAATACTGTATTTTGTAGTTCCTTGATTCTGTAAGAGCAAAGTCTGTGYGGCACGCGTTCTGGTTGGAGTTGGTGAGAGCCATTCCTCATACTCACTTCTACACCTCATGAACCTTTTAATAGTAAATGTGTGTCAAGCGCTGATTCAATTCAATTCTGAGTGCTCTTATTCTACCTTTTACTTAATTTCAAAGTAGTTGCGTGAATAATATGTGAATATATTATTTAAATGTATATATGGTGAAATCGACTTTTTTGTGCAGTTCTGAGGTTTTAAAATGTGGTGGTTCTTGTAACCATCATCACAATCCAGCTCCCCAGAGCACTTCCATCACCAGAACATCCAGAAGACTCCCTCCTGCTACCCTTCCTAGTCAGGCCTCCCTGGTAACCAGTCATCTCTTCCCCATCCTTAGAAGTTCTGCCTTCTCCCAGATGTCATGAAAATGG